CAGACGGGGCGAAGTTGGCCTACGATGTCTACGGCACAGAGCATGCTGCACGCGCCAAGCCTATCGTTCTCGTAGGAGGTGTGACACTATCAACCAGACGATTGATACTGTTTTCACGTTCATGGTCATGCAGGAATGGGATCGACCAGAGTGGACTGGGAGCGGCTGAGCAACACGCTCTCCAAGAACAGGCCCGTTCTAGTCTTCGACCATAGGTGCGCTTGCGAGCATGCATGTACTACTTCGCAACGGCTAACATGAGCACCCGATTCCAGAGGGATGGGTCAATCATCGTACTCCACGGCGGAAAAAAACGACGATATTACAACAGAATCTATGGCCCGTGATCTGGTCTTCCTCATCTATAGTCTTGGCTGGAAGGAAGTGGCGATCTGCGGTTTCTCTATGGGAGGTAAGCGCTTCGCTCTGGTGCTGGCCGCTCCGATGCTCAAACACCACTTCTGTAGGCGTTGTTACTCAAGAACTCATTCTCCTCCCATATCACCCCTACAAGCCGACACCACTGCCTTTCCGTGTCACGCATATATTTCTCACAGGCACCCTAGCTACGCCCTTGCGCGATAAGCGGTACGGACTACCTATCGCCGGGTTCAAACGGACTCCTGGAGCGCCAAAACTAACTCTGGAGGAGGAAATGGACCTGTCCCGCCCGCTTGTCGAAGCGAGTTTCGATCCTGCATGGGTGAAGGAACACCCAGCGCGTGCAGAGGAGTGGGTGAAGCATATGGTTGTGGGACGGTGAGCATCTACCTACGTTTTGATTGGCGTGTTTCTCATTGCGCCTTGCTACAGTCCAATCCGAACCATGAGTAAGACTTTTAATTTTTGATCAACAGCAGTACCTAATAGCATTCTTTTGTAGTGAAACAGGCCATCACAGTAGGCATTTGACTATTTCCTGATGCCTTCTTGGATGCTTATCGTGGTTGTGTAGCTCAAGAACATGAACTTCGGAAATTTGCACACAAAATTTTCCCCTGATACCCCTGTGCTAATCATCCACGGGAAGCTGGATAATATTGTTCCTTTTTACTGCAGCGAAGAAATTGCCCAGCTCATCCCGCACGCTCGGTTCGTAGAGGTCGGCTCTCAGCCTGGGCAGATTCCAGACCTCCGATTTGGCCATCACTGGTGGGAATATTTTGACGAAAGGGTGTGGAGGGACGTAGTGGATGTTTTCATTGGCGGGAGCACGAAAGCCCGTCTGTAAAGCAGGCGTAAATATTGCTATGTAATAGTAATTATAACAAGTGCTAGTTTCATATGTACGATATTGCTTCGATGCCACATACTATGTCGCGTCCAGCGGCCGCACCCACTGCATGGTTATCCAACCATCGAGCTGGGGATCCACCGAAAGCTTCTGAAGGTCCCTTGAGTTCGCATTTGGATCTTTGATGAACGCCAGCGTCGTCCGCGCACCGGCCCCTCTAATCCATTCCACAAGAGGCCACTGCCAGACCGCTACTGGTCCCACAACGATCTTCGAACGGTTCAACGCCAGCGATGTTGCCAAAGTTGCTGGCATTTTCTCTAGATCGAAGCGTAGGAGAAAGCGACAGTCAAACAGCAATTCAAACGGCCTTTTTTTGCCACCCTCCTCGCGAGTTTGGTGCATAAGGGCACTGCTGATATCAAGCTCGTCCAATCCGCTCTGCCTCTGGGCCGAGACAAACTGCCTACTCTTCACTGGCGGCGACTGACGCGACGCCAACCACCCCAGCCGCTCTCCCTTCTCCTCACTTAGCCTCACCTCAGTGTGTTTAGCCGGAATCCTGATCGTGATATTTCCATCCTCGGCCTTGCTAAAAATTGCCAGTCGCCACCAGACTCCCGAGCCCCCCACAAACTGGCGTGAAGGCAGTCTGTCCGGATCACGGGTCCATAGAAAATCGACGATGTTCGATAGTCGGGCCGCGCGCCGATTGCCTTCGGCGCGTACCGACCCCCATGGGTGGAAAGAAATATAGCGCAAAATCCGTAGTACGATGGCGGCGCGCACAGTGGTATCTTCGATGGTGTCGAGGTCGTGCGCGGCTAGCAGGAAGGTCCCAATGGGCGAAGGAATTGTGCGCCGTTTGAGGTGTCTATCAACTGAAAGGGAGGTCAAAAGATGTATATGATACCTCTGAGCGATCCACGAACCTTCAGCGTCAATGTCGCCAACACGGGCGGTGAGAGCGCGAACAGCACTACGTAGTTGGGCCGCGCCGCCTGAGATGTCATAGTGAGCGGCCTTGAGCTCCTCTGCTGCCACTTTCATCTTTTCGATTTGAGTACGGACTTCTTCTGAGACATTGTCCTCTTCTGGACTGGGGTCAACCTATCTGATCATAAGCCAATGATTTTGCATCCAATGAAAGTGTGGCATACGGATATGCCCTTGCTTTCCGCCTCGGCCATGGCCAATGTATGACGGATGGCATTGCGAAGGGTAACATCAGGCTGAAAATTGGTCGGATCAACAACGTACTCGAGCTCATTTTCTTCACATGTCGCCAGGATTCTGTCCTGTAATTCCTCAGTTTCTGTCGATGCATCTTGATAACAATATTGCTCACCTTGCTCACTGGTAGCATGGGACGGACGATCCACCGATGCATACCCTCATAGCCCGCCCAACCGAGCCCGCCGTCACCATTTGACATGCCCATCCCCCATCTTCGACAGGGTCTCATACCGCCAGCACCAATCTCCGTGGTTCCCCTCGCCAGTCGCATAAGTGCGGTCTCCACCTGGTCATCTGCATGGTGTCCGAAAGCGAGGGTATCCGTGCCCATTTGCGTCATTGCCTGGAAGAGGAGGTGATATCGTGCATCCCGCGCTACCTCCTCGAAGGCTCGTGATCCTGACGGCAAAGGAGGGAACGGCGGTTCTCCCCAAGGTATGGAGCTAGTGAGATGTTGGACACCGAGAATTCTCGCGTTCTTTTCGCATCGCTTGGCCATGGCGTTGGAAGAATCTTGCAGACCATGGTTTACTGTCAAAGACACAGTAGACATTGGTAGACCTTTGCCGCTCATATCCGGATCTGACAAGAGCCTGTGCAGTAAAAACAGCAGGCAAGTAGAGTCCGGGCCCCCAGAATTGGCGACAGCTGAAGAGGAGTCGTAAGGTGCTGAGAATAGAGGGCAGTGAGTCGGCTAACCGATCTTCTGTGACCAGCCGTTAGGTGGTCTGGATGTTTGAAACATTTGAAGAAACTCGCCCTGAGAGATGGAGGCTACCCTTCGCAGCATTTTCAGCTATTTGTGAAGATTTTTCAGCGGGAAAGCTAATGAAAGGCGCCAAGGTAGATGCTGGTGGATGTCGCGTCCGAAACTTTCATGGTCGCGACTCGCGGGTCCAGCTTGGGCGCTTAAACCGTCCAAAATACTTCGAATTCAATCAAAATTCAGTAAGACCTCTGGCTGGAATGCGTAGTCGTGTCTCCAATAAACTTCATGCATACAATGAAATTTCTCAACTTGAATTGATATATGTTTCATTGCGCATCACCGCGGTCGAAAGCGGTTGTGATTGAGCGCAAAAAGTGGTATTACAGGGTGCCAATTACTTCTTGTCCATTCTTTCAACTAGACATTGATGAACGAAAAGATATAACACAATCTAGCTCAAGGTTTCCGGACGACAACCACCCATGCATCGACCTTCCGCGCATCGAAGAGCCCGGCCTCCCACTGATCCGCCAGTCTTCTTCTGCGCCACTCCCGACCACCGTACAGCGCCTTTTTCTGACCCAGTACGACGAGACTTGTTTTCAGCTCTTGGGCACGTTCTTGTGAGACATTACGGACTGATTCGATCTCGAAAGGAGGAAGAGAGGCGACGAGATGAGCAAGAGTCAGATTCGTTGCTTCCAGTGCATTCTCCAGCTGATTCTTCGAATAAACATTGCCAGTATTGCTACCGGATGAAGAGCGGAGCAGATTGGGTATGGCGGAGAGCAGATTTTCCGGGTCGTTCATGGTGGAGTTGGGCACACATGTACTGAACTCGAGCGCAAGACGTGCGCCATGTGGAAGGACGAGCCCTTCGAAATAAATCAGGTCGACCAATCTGCGTAACGGTAAGCCAGTGAGCAGAATCGTTGGAGTTATAGGATTCTTGACGCTCGCTTTGCACTCGGTAGTCGGAGGAAAGATGCTCCCGGATGCGCTGATGGCGCTAGAATCGCGCATAGCTAGACAGCAAGAGGGAAAATTCAAAGTTGGACAATCAGAAATATCTGCCGAAGCAGCATATACGCACTCTTAGTTTGTTGCATGATCTACGGAAACAGCCATCAACCAGCTTGCTCTCATAAAGGGTAGATGCAGATATTACCTTGGTCCATTTCCGTGCCCACACATCTTTAGCTTCATTCGTCATTTGCTGCTCCTGCGAGGTTGGACATAAGTCAAATCGCCAACCATAGACACGCTTTCCAGCCATGATCTCTCCCAGTGCGCCTATGTCACGAAATTCAATGGTGCCAGCGAGAAGGTCTTCAACGAGCTTCAGCAGAGGTATGCGTATAGTCTTGGATCGAGAAACTACAGCAGCGCGTGCGAAGGAGATATAGGAAGGAGGCCAGCGCGAGTTACGTGGGTGCAGGACGGTGAGGAGGGCCTCGAGAGCCTTGCGCGTTTCGTGATCAGAGTTGGGGGTACGCAAGCCGGGTTTTCGTGCATGCAGAAGAGAGCGGGCGATAAAACAGAGGGCTACGACGAGCAATGCAAGAATGAGTCGGAGACCGTCTTTCTTGCTAGTTCTGGGTATGTTCGAGAAGATCATTTTCATCTTGAGGGCCAAAACTTCGAGAGAATTTGATTCTAGAAAGTGCAGATTATCCGCGAGTAAAGCTGAGAGGTTTGAGGAGACAGCGAGCATAGTGAGAAAAGACGTCGATTTGGCAGATGGTGGTTTGAAAGCCAGTCACGTCGAAAATAGACGCGTCTTTGGGGCGTTATGTAAAATATTCGCTGTGAAACAAAAAGCGACGCCAGCAGGGTTCGAACCTGCGCCCTCAGAGAGGAACAGATAGACTTGGTGGTTCAAATCTGTCGCCTTAGACCACTCGGCCATAGCGCCTCTGGATAGGGGTTATTATTGGGAAACTATAAGGCGTGCTATTGGCTATCCGGACACTACTGGCGATGCTCCCGATCTGACAATATATGTTGAAAGATTTTCTATACTAAGAATCCGGTCACGCCCAGATCAATGGCGACTTCGTGAACAAGGCATACATGATTTGGGTATAAAATACACACAGCGACAACTCTCAAACTGGCTTCTCGCCCGATAGTTCCAGCAACCGTGCCCACACCCCCTCCCTCAGCGCATCGTCCGCGAGCACGCGCTCGTCCACCTTGACCTCGCGGCCCTTCTCGTCGAAGAAGTGCCACCCGCGCGCCTTCCACTCCGCGCTTGCGTGCTGCCACACGCACACATCTGCATACGCTGCGGGCGTTTGCCCGAACAGCCCGAGCACCCAGAAGAGCGCACGGAAGACCCAGTGCAAATGGTCGAAGCTGCCGCCGGAGGCAACACCCCCGGGGAAGACGTGCACCGTGCGCACAGCGGGGAAGCGACGGTTGAATTCCTGCTCGCGCGCGAGTTAGCAGGAACAGGAGAGGGGGAGAGGCGCAACATACCTCGGTGAAGAGGTCCACGGTGAGGGTGTGGCTCGCGCCGTGGCGTAGGTACGCCATCGTGCCCTTCTCGGCGAGCCGCTGGACGCCAATGAAGTCCGGGTCCGCGGGATCGAGCTGCTTGCCCTTGTCGCCGGGGCGCATGATCGTGCTCACCTGCGCTCCGGCGCGCAGGACGGGTTCGGCGCGCGTGAGGAGGAGGTATGGCACGAGGAAGTGTGAGAGAATCTGCACGTTGAAGGCCGCCGTCACACTCGCGGCGGTCAGCGGCCAAATGTCCATCCTCGGGCCGCCTGTATGGCGCTATCAGCACGGCCTGTGATAGTAAACTAGCGCAACTCACCTTGTGTCTGGTAGAAGTAGTCCACGCCTTTCGACCCTGCCCACGCGGCGATGGTATCGGCCGCTGCGCGCATGCCCTCGACACTAGACATATCGGCGCGTGCGAAGGCGAGCGTGGCCGTCGCGCCGTCGCCGGCGGCGCTCTTCATCTGCGCGACGACAGCGTCACCCGCAGTCTGGTTGCGGCCCATGACGAGCACAGAGGCCCCGAGGCTGGCACAGCGCACGGCGATGCCCGCGCCGATGCCACCGGTGCCGCCTGAGACGACGACGTTGGTGCCCGATAGATCGAGGCTGGAGGTTAGCGCGTGCCAGTTGACCATAGTATGTTGGAGTAAGGGTGCTAGATGCTGGAGATGGCTTGGCAGCGCGGCAGCGCGGGTTTATGAAGGCTGCTGGGCACGGCACATACAAGTTCGGCTCGCCGCGTCACCTTGCAGTTGCTGCAGAGGTTCGGGCTCCCGGGGCCCGTAACTGGAGGAGCATGAAGCCAGGCCCCCGATCGCGATATGCTACACCACCGGCCGATGCCACATATACTTCAGCGCATGCCCCTGATACTTGAGTGGGATCAGTGGATATGTTTGTTTTGCTTTGTTGCTCAACACAATCCGACCTCCGACAATGCCCTCCGAGTCCTAACGCTGACTCTGAGTCTTTGCAGACTTCCCAGCGTCGAAGTCTCTCGTCGATCATCATGTTTGTGCACTCAAACCTTGCAAGAAAAAATTCATCTCTTGGCATGCACTACTCTGGGAGTACTAGTGATGATCCCCAGTCGAAAGTGGCGCGAACCGGTGCGACGCTCTGCGATTGCTGTAGATTCTGGGCTGTTGTATCGAATGCCAGAGATTCTTTCAGAATGATTTCGATTGGACATCTCGGGTGCTATATTTGTGCGATCGAACTTGCAAAGTCCTTGCAAGTTTACAAATGTTGCTTTGGATTCTTGCATCT